AAGAGAAGGCTAGAATATGCCCTACTTTAGAAAGCTGCACAGTATGCTTTGTTTTTGATTTAATGAGCTGTGATTGTGGTTATTTTCGGTGGCATCTATGCCCATTAATTTTTGTTTAAGATCTGATTGTTAATGACAGAAATTGACAGGAAGGATGAATTTGGGTTTAAGAAAAGGAAAACGTTGGTCGTGTCTCTAGGATTCATTCACTAACCGTATGGTAGCAAGGTGCCCATCAGGACCTGAGTTTTCTCTGATTCTGCATTGTTCAACAACGTTTTCTAATCTACTGGTCATGTCAGTGACAGGCTTTGAAGAAATGAGAAGCGACAAAGATTTTTGCACTTATGGAGCAGGGCGCAGAAGAGAGGCAAGAGCAGGACGTCAGCTGCAGGGGCCAGACCCGCCTCTTGGGCCACACAGAGTTCATATAAGCCTCGATGGGAAGAGCAGGTCTGGCTTCATGCCCAGCCTCCGCTGTCAAGAGCCCAGGAAGTTTAAGACTTTGCAGTAGAGGGTGGTGTGCAGCCCCCTGTGCCGGACAGGGAGGAATTTAACAGTGTGGCCACGGGCAGCCCAGCTGCTGGCTGGCTTTGGTGGCAGAGACCAGCCCCAGGCAGGTTCATTGATACTGCTGCAGCCTTGCACGACCAAGGCCCCTCCAGCAGCAGCGAGTGTGTTAGTGAGAGTTCCCCATCCTGCGGTGGAGAAAACTCTACTCCAGCCTCAAATCTAGAGTGGGATAGAGAAACACAAACCAAGATGCATACTGGCAGAGCTGGTTAGCACAGGCCCTGGGCAGGAACAAAACGGGGCCCTACGTACAGCTGCGTGCCAGTGCTGGTACCTCACATCTCCCAAGTTCAACAGCCTGCCCGTTCAACACTGTTGCCTGCTGGTGACACCGAAGCTGGGCCACTGAGCGAGAGGGGCAGGAGAGCACAACAGCCCAAACTGCCCAGTTACAATATTAGCACCAAAGGCACCCCGTGCTGTTTATTTTCCACCTTTAAAGAACACACACATGGCCACAGACATGGCCACATGCCTGCACACGCAGGCCATCCATACCGTGCATGCAGGGAACAGCACAAGCATACATACAATGTGTGCATGCACACTGCGCGCGCACACACACACAGACACACACAGCATAACCAGCTGTAGCCTTGAATTTCAGCTTCCTATGTAGAGCATTAGAATGAGTAACTAAGTAAATTACAGACATTTGTCCCTTCCGACCTGAATAACCCTATGATCCAACCATAGTTTAGATGCTGAGCAGCATGAGTGGTGGGGAAATGGAAGAAATTCCAGAGATAGAGCCACCTTAGAGGCCTGGTCTCAAATTTTGGGTGACCTTTTTAAAGGAAATAGAGGAAATTGCTCCTGTGCTTTGCCCCCACTGAGCCTGAATCAGGCCTGAGCTCTCTGCTCAGTTTCTCAGGTTATGCCCGACCTTAACATGAGGCTCAGCTGAAGGTAGAGCTGCTCTATTCGTGCCACGCATCAAAGTATTTTGCAAAGTAGTGGTCAAATAGCAGCTTGTCAACTCCGGACGCCCTGTTCACACGTACATAGCAAATTCCTGCGGCAAATATCTAAAAGCAATTTAAACGGCGTTCAATTTTAAAAGCTGCTCTTTACCACAGCCGTCTGCTGCAGCACCTCTCCTCTTTGCCAGCACGTTGGGTTCGTGTGTCCCAGGCTATTTTCTCCTCACTGCTCCTTCCCCAAAGCAGGCACACGGCCCGGCCACCCCAGATTCCCCTCGGGGGTGGGGAGCAGGTTGGGG